CTGTTTGATGGGGAGCCTGTCAAAAATAAACTTGCTGCGTGGATGGAGGTGTTCCAGGTAGTAGGAAATAACCCTCAAGCAGTCATGGTACCGGCGAACATGGAAACTTGCCGGACAATCAGTACGACGTGCGCTACAACGTATACACAGTCAACCATCAACTTACTAGGTGCGACGAATTCCACGGCTTCTGCTTCGTCTGCAGGGATGTCTGCTGCAACGTTTGGAGGCCTTTTCATACAAAAGTAGCTCATTGCTGCTCTTTTTGGAGTCAATACGTACGAAAAGAACGAAGTGTTTCGTCTGGCACTCTTTCAAAGCGACTTGAAATGCATTGAACGAGAAAAAACTTTGACGAGCTAAATTCTCCACAAAATCATCCTCCGCATTCACGTGCTCAGCCATAGCAGCCATTTAAAATATGAATATCCCGGGGCTTGGATATCATGTGGATTGAGTAGATTTAAACAACTTTCAACAAAACTGCGTCCGTTTGGGAAGATCTCATACGCCCGGAAAATTACCATCAAATGTTAAAACTTTATGTTAAAGTTTTCCTCCTTCGAACCACGGCTTCAGAGAAATTTTTGGCATGCGTCTAGCCCACGGCGGTCGCGTGCTTCGGCTCTCTATTCTGATTTCGCTCGAGCTTGCAGCGGCCATTCGCGAGTCTCATGTACTAACTCTGGTACCAAGACATTTCAGACCGTCTTCGGGATCTATTATATGTGGGAAATGTTCAGAAGACCTCTGGACCAACATAAGTGGATTATTGTTTATTCGCTAACCTGGGCCAACGCCGAACTATTTTAAAGAGAACAACTGTTAGTGGGTCTGTTCCATCTGACCTCTTTATTTTTGTATACCCAACCTAGCGTTATTATTTTTATTTCTTTGCAACATACTCCTGGTAAACTAACTTATTGGGTAGCCAGACCACCACACTGCTCATATATGATAGGTAGGAGGAAGTATATGACTATTTGGAATCATTTGTTGGGCATCTTGTTTTCAGTCTTTTTACCCACTTTCTAGCTTCATTATGGGCTTTAAAAAGGCCTTTATGGACTATTGACTCTTTAATACCGGTAAATGGGATCAGAAACTTTGGCGAAATTCTCAGTCCCCAGCATGCTCGATAGGGTACCCGTTCAACCGAAAGCCACGTCAAAGAACGAATGTACTGGCGCTGTATTATCTATATATTATTATCTGCATTTTGTTCATGAAGTGGCCAAGAGTCATGGGTCGGCCATTAGTCGATCGCAGGAGCACCGATTCTACAGTACATTTTGAAAAACTTGGAGATCCATTTATTTGGACGGTAAGCTCGTCTGCGTTGGACCATGGAAAGTTCGAAGAAGATTGCATTTCCCTTCTGTCCGATCCAGCAATGGTCTCTGGAAAATTCCCTGGAAATCAAAAAGCATATATGTGTATGCATATAAATATATTCAGGTAGCGAGCGCCCAGTGGGGTGACATTAGTTTGTGCAACATTTTCGCAGCCGAAGCTCAACGAAAATCCTGTGAGAATCATCGTGCATGGAAAATAATGGGCTTATCACTCTTACACAAACCGTTATCCCAAGTGAGAACTTGCTTCGCGAAACTGCGGCAGCTGCACCAACTTCTATATATCCGGATTTCTTGTATAGGTGATGTTTAATTAACTCCCAGAATGAAGCCTGTTAGTTGCACAGTAAGTTTATCCACCGTGCAGAACAAAAGCTACACGTGGGGTGAAGTTTATTCAATCTAGATGGTACATTTCTCTTCATTCGGTTCGACAGTTTTTATCTACCATTAAGCGGTATCCTCTCGTTTATCGGACCCACTTCCGCACCTCATTATCTTTCAGTATGTCAACGGTCTCCATCCTAAGTTCTCTTGATTCAGTTGCAAGAATTTTGTCTGAGATGTACCACCACACTGCAATGGGGGTTTCCAACCACCCCTGTCGTGTTCCAGGAAACTTGAGTTCAGAACTATTTGGCGGCAGCTAGTAGCCCCAGGTGAAATCAGTGGGAGGACTTAGGGAAGTGAAGCGGAGAGGCCTTCTGTTTCCAGCTAAATATATAGCTGCCTTATATTTCCCCTTCCGTAGCCGCTTTCCGCTATTCACGCTAATGAGCTCAAGGGTGATTGTGCTGGAATTCCTTGCAAACGCGTGGCTGTATTGGCGTTTCTTCATTCATACCCAAACAAGCAATCACGTGCTCTTTGGTGTGACCTAATGACTCAGGTAACCACGGTCCCTTGTACTCGTATCTCCACTAGTTTTCACTCATCTCGAATACCTGTTGTAACTGCTAGGCCCGTGTTTATTTGCGACGTTGATAATGAGACTGCTCCTATGCACAGTAACATAATCAGATGGTCAATGACGGTCTTTTATACCCTTAGCTATACGCGATGCGGCTCGTCTTCGCTAGCTACAGTAAACATCAGCGACCGGTAAAAATAAGGCCTCAGCTATGCGTGATGGCCACATCTGAAAGCCTGTTATACTCATAACTGTACTCGAAGTCATCTGACTTGGCTATTGATCGTACCTATTGAGTCAGTGTCCTTGTACATACATACCTAATCCAATAGCGAACGATGGACCTAATGCTCAAAACTGTCCGCGATATCGCCCACATTGACTACTTATTGAAACTGCTAGGCCAGTGCCTATATGCGACGCTGTTTAGTAGGCCTCAGCTATGTGAATTGTCCTGATTTAACTGCCAACGACGGCCCGCCATGCCCATAAATGTGCGTGCTCTCACTTATGTCTGCTACTTATATCATCATGGAGAGCATGAAATCAGTGTTAAACACCGATTTCCACTGCCATACCTGCCTGCCACCTGCAGTAAACACGAAGTGGGTATCTATGCGGGTCGATAGAAACCAGGTTCCAACAATGCATGACATCTTAACGAACAACGGCTACCCGTCATACTCGTAACTGCGGTTGATATCACCTACCTTGGCCGCTTATCGTAGTTGCAAGACCTGTGTCTACGTGCAACGCTGGGCATAAAGCTGACGGTCTTCCATACCCTTAACTATACGCGATGCAGCTTATCTTCGCTACCTACAGTAAACATCAATCCAATATTTATGTCCCGACCGGCAAAAACAAGGACTCAACTATGGGTGATAGCCTAATCTGACAGCCTGTTATACTCACAACTGTACGCGAAGTCACCTAATTTGGCTATCTATGGTCATACTCATACTTACTCGGTGGCGTTTATGTTTGTTACCTTTAGTAAACATTACAACTGTAGTCGACGTAACCTACGGTAGCTAACTATAGTAACTGCCAGGCCCGTACACATGCTCGTAGCTAACCATAATGCCCCGGCAACACATAATAGACCCAACCCAACGATCATCACCTGTCAACCTGCAATCGCCACCCAATTTGATAGCATACTCCCAACTCCTACTCTTGATTGTGCCCCCTCGACAACTCCCTCCATTACCCGAAACAATGAGCTGTCGCTCACCTCGACTACTTAGCGTAACTGCTATTCGCGACGCCGATTATGAGGCCTCACCTATGCACAGTGGCCAACGACGGCGCTTTATACTCATACCTCCACGCGTCGATAATGCGCCCGCCATTGACGAATTGCATTTTATTCATTGGCATCACTGAAACAGGCTTAATCGGTGGTCGCTCCATTTTTCATTTTCTTGAGATCCACTTAACGAGACAAGGATTCCGAAACGGAAGGTGGGCAAGCAATTAATCTTCGGGTACAGCATTTGAACATCTGGATATAATGTTTGCTTACCTAGTGGTTCATAATTTTCAGTACCGGGCGTAACTGCTATTCGCGACGCCGATTATGAGGCCTCACCTATGCACAGTGGCCAACGACGGCGCTTTATACTCATACCTCCACGCGTCGATAATGCGCCCGCCATTGACGAATTGCATTTTATTCATTGGCATCACTGAAACAGGCTTAATCGGTGGTCGCTCCATTTTTCATTTTCTTGAGATCCACTTAACGAGACAAGGATTCCGAAACGGAAGGTGGGCAAGCAATTAATCTTCGGGTACAGCATTTGAACATCTGGATATAATGTTTGCTTACCTAGTGGTTCATAATTTTCAGTACCGGGATGAGTGATAAATGTATAGTCGTTGCGGATTGCCATGGGTTCATTGATTCGCCATTTGAGGCATTCGAGTTACAATCACAGGAATTCCTCGTCATCACAGGATTCGAAAGCAAGGTCTACGAAGCCTATGCTAAGAAATTAGTCCCCAAATTACCGGTCCCCATCAACTCCGAAATTGGACAAAACAGTTTTATTGCGACTGTCTTATGGGGCAGACTCGGCTTGTCCTCCATGGACCGATTAAGATCAACACCAAAGCAAGCCCTTTAAGCTGACCGGTAGGTAGACATACCGGTAACTAATATGAATAGTTTAATTGATACACGTGCACTCACCTGGTGGACGTGCCTGAAGATTTTCTCCACACAGCGGGCAGAGCTCATTGCCGCAGCAATAACGGTGATATGGAAGTCGACCACGCTGACAACTCCAGTCGGCAGGGTCATCTGGCTGGCCACAGAGACCATAGGGAACAGCGTCGTTTGACGTCGAACGCCACCGTTTTGACTTCATTGTGTCCACCCATCATATCCTTGAGCAAGCTGAACAGCTTGCGCAATGGCGCAAAATGCTCGCTTTCGACAAATGCATACAATACGGGTCGACCGATACCCGTGCCATCCATCACAAGGAATGTATAAAGCTTGTAACTTAACAGCGAACGTCAGGGGCTCTAAAGTTATTTACCCAAGACGGTTAGTACCGTGTGTAGCATTAACGTTTACAACATCCGGGAAACGCATAAAGTGTGCTATCTGCTGCGTTCGAGAAAAGCACAGGTGACTTATCTACTACCCTCCGATTCCACCAGCAGCACGCGACCGCCCTCTCGAAACTTGGCTATGATGGATGACATGTCATCCAAGAAACCGACTAAAAGGTAACCAACGGCCTACTTAACAATGGGGGTCGACACTTGACGCGATAGTTACGCATATCCTTGATAGTGAGTACCTTTCCAAAGTGGTCGGCGACGTACTGCCGAATCTCCGATGACGGAGCACCGTATTTCAGTGTTCCAGGTAGTAGGAAGTAACCCTCAAGCAGTCATGGTACCGGCGAACGTGGAAACTTGCCGGACAATCAGTACGACGTGTACTACCGCGTACACACAATCAACCATGAACTTACAAGGTGCAACGAATTGTACGACTTCTGCTTCATCTGCAGGGATGTCTGCTGCAACGGTAGAAGGCTTTTTTCATACAAAGGTAGCAAATTACAGCTTTTTTGGAGTTTATGCGGACGAAAACAACGAAACGTTTCGCCTTGTACTCTTTCAAAGCGACTTGAAATGCAATGAATGATAAAAAGCTTTGACGAGCTAAATTCTCCACAAAATCATCCTCCGCATTCACGTGCTCAGCCATAGCAGCCATTAAAATATTAATATCGCGGGCCTTGAATATCGTGGGGATTGAGTAGATTTAAACAACTTTCAACAAAACTGCGGCCGCTTGGAAAGATCTCATACGCCTGAAATATTACTATCAAATGTTAAAAGTTTATGTTAAAGGTTTCGTACTTCCAACTATGGTTTCCGAGAAATTTTGGGTGTGCGTCTAGCCGCTGGCGGCTCATTCCACACGAAATTTGCAATTTTGGAAAGCCCACATTTTTCTCGAATGTAAGATTGATTTATTTCTACTTGGGGGCCTGCCCGAAAACTCGACGGCGGCCGGTTGATTTACCGGTGCGCAAAATCGTTAGCAGAAGGACAAGTGCAATAGCTCATATATTTCGTCCAATGTGTGTACCGAATGTTGCAAGCAGATGGTTTTTTCAGAAAGACAAAAGACGCTGTGCGCGTGTTAGAAGCGTTCAGCCTAGAATGCGCCTTGAGTTCATTTAAATGTACGATAATTTGCCAAGCTATCCTAAAACTGACTTTTGTATCTTTTGTAATTAATCCCGGACTGTCTTCTAAATAGTTCTGTGTAGTTGCGGCGCGACCCCGAAATGCTTTATTGCTTTAATTGCAAAGTGGCTTGCTAAATGTGCGCTGTTGCCTCCATTTTGAATGGAAGCGTGTGAGACAACCCGGGACAGGCTACCAAACGGAGGGTTAAGAAGGTAATTCTGATAGTGCACCCGGAAATTTGGTCGATTATTTTCATTCTCCTAAATGAGAAGTTTTAAAGTTTGTTTGGTTATCTCCGGTATTTAACCGGCCTTAACTAAAAAACATGCTGTAAAACACCATTATGGTTGTCGCTGCATGGTCCAAAAGTCCTGGGTGAAAACTTCAGACTGCGGGTTTTAAGTATCAGAACACTTCGTTCCGTCAACATTGGAGCATGAGAAAAAAATTTTATAAAAATAATTAAGGACCCTATGGCGAAAGATGCCTTGAAAACTTCGACGCTCTGCGGGATGTATGGCTTTTTCAGCGAAAAACTTGGTAATGACGACATTGTTTAGCCATCAAGGAGCCACTGAGAAAAGTCGCCGGTTTCAGACTCATCATCATCATCATCGACAGCATGACATCAGTGTACAACACCGATGTTTCACTGGCGTACAACCATGACTTATTTGAAAGCCTTATTGCAAAGAACAGAATAAAGGTGGACGGGAGAGGGACTTAGTGCTAGCTTAACACAATCATTCCGAGGTGCCTACACCTCCAGACATTCACTCAGACAATCTGGATAGAAACTGACTGCAAGAACGCCACTGACATCGGTTGGCAGCCATATCTTGTAGTGTCTCCAACCAGGCACAGTGAGGATCACGTGGTCCCCATCCTGGAAGGCGAGTAGCACCGACAGCACCCAAGCGTTTCGTGATCTCCTTCATACTCCTCCGCCAAGTCAAGGATTGGCCACCTCTCTGTTTACGCCACTCTGAGTTGGGCATGAAAAACAGCACTCTCTTCGGCAAACGATGGTTCGGCATACGTAACACATGTCCCAACCAACGCAGCTTTTGGTGCTGGACACATTCTTCAATGGAAGTACCCGTTACACAAACAAAAACACGCTTTCCAACCGCCTCATTACCGATTCGCCGACACCAACCCACACGAGCTATGGTTCTGAGACAACGATTGTCGAACACCTGAAGACGTCTCAGTTCCGCTGTTCGAATAGGCCAAGTCTCACAGCCATACAACAAAACAGCCCGTACGGTAGCTTGATACACACGTCCCTTCAAACTCAGAGATAAACCATTCTGACGCCATAGGTGTCTCAAGTTAGCAAACGCGGCCCGAGCCTTGCAGATTCGTGCATTCACCTCATCTGTCACACTACAATCAGAACTAATACAACCTCCAAGATACGTAAAACGCTCCACGACTTCCAGTACCTCTCCCTGGATTGTAAACGGCGTGTTCAATGACTGCACGTCCACAAGCATGACCTTACACTTTGTGGGTGCAAAGTGCATACCAAAGGACGGGATGACTTTGGTCAGCTCATCCAAGAATACTTGCGCCTTTTCCTCCTCTTCCAACATGAGAACGATGTCGTCGGCATATTCCAGATCGACAAGGTTTTCAGCCCCCGCGTTGTCTGGTTTTCGATGACTTCGTAATTTGACTTATTTCCATCCTAGAACGCATTTGTTTATAGTCGCGATAGATCTCATTTTTACGATCACATTTACCGACTTATTAATAGAGGATCTAAAGACATTTCCTCGAGTTGTTCCTTGTGCAAAATGACGACTTTATTGAGGATATGCTTTTCTAAGAATAGAAGCCCGCATGCTCTGCTTCGTCCGCTTAACTACGTTTATGTAATCAGCACCACCAAATGACCTTGAAACCATAATGGTTTAGTTGAACTTAGCTGGAAGTTCGGAGAAAGGTGTAGAAAACCATGAACGCATCAGTAGCAAAGCATTAAAAAATACTGTAGGTTTCTCGTGGGCGGTGAGTAGATCGGTTCTGCATGAAAAATATTTGCTCAATTCATCACAGTTTTCGTATATATTCGTTAGTTTGTTCCTTAGCACCGCTTTGTGGTGGCCTGCGAGAACGCTGGAATAAAATGGATAGTTTGTACGAAACTTGTATGAGGAGTAGGCAATTATAGGCCGAAGACCGTCAGTCTGTTTAGGATTGGTAGGGTGCTGCGGTGGTCCACACAGACTGATAAAGTCTGTGACGTGCGATTTAAGCAGCGATTTAAGCATCAATGTAAAACGTGCTGCCTGCTCAACCAAACCTAACCGTTGGTGAAGAAGCAGACGCTGCCAAGGCTACCAAAGGAAAATATTTGTTTGTTTTATTTGTTTTTCACTTGCGCCTTTCAGGTGAACGACAGCCACTGACCGACAAGAACAAAACCGATCCGGGAAACTTGGGCAAGAGCCTCGATCCTGTGTATCAATCCGTGAATCCGTTAATCCGTGAATAACCGAACTAGAAATTCATCCGCGTCGAACAACAATAGGTATTCAACATGGATCATGAAATCTTACTAAGAAATGGCGACACGGAAGATCCAGAAATGGGTAAAGTCCACAATCTGAGTTGCGAACGTGCCATTTAGATGCTCGATTTCCTTTCCTCATACGCATCAATGGTATCTTCACTGGTTACACCGGTAGCTTAACTGGTAGGCCAAGATACGACTATCAGTAGAAAGCGTAACGCCTAGCTTAACTCTGTACAGGTGACCGGCGAGCATTTAGTACCTTGCTGCTTATCAATTGCATAAACAAGACGATAGGGATGAGGTTGTTCTAATGGTATAGCAGGGGTTGCCGGTAAAATTGGCCGTTCCTTCTATAAGGTGGATAGTTTCTCACACGCGCGACAAGGATTGACGTATTCAGGGATTGATACAGAGGATCAAGGATACTGCCCAAGTTTCCCGGGTCAGTTTTTTTCTTGTCGTTCGGCGGCTGTCGTTCACCTGAAAGTCACAAGTGAAAAAGGGTGTAGCACTGCTCTTTATGCTCTCAGCGCGGGGAAGTATGCTTTTAAGCGCGAAGATTCGCATAAGTGTCTAATAGTGCTCTAAACTGGGTCCTAGAGGGAGCGTGGACAACCGTCGGACGAAAGCGATTCCACGCAGCTACTACCCGAAAAGAGAAAAAATATGTCTAATGAATGTGTGTGCTATGAGCTTGACAAATTTCATACTGTGTCCCCGCCGGGTGTTTGCTGGGTCAACGGT